CCATCAACAGGATGTTGACTCTTGTAAGCAATTCTAACATGGCAATATCACTGATGCAAATAAATGCTTTATTTTGTAACATCTGGAGTCACCTTGCCTATGTTGCCTCCTTATAAGAGTGATATGATTTTTAAAATAACCTATATGATCTTTAAGCTAATGTAGACAGCACTCCTTATTGTACACAAAATGTACAACAAATCTTTTGGAAGTAAGCAATTCAGCTATCGTCAAGTACCATAACCTTCAGCTAATAGACATCTTATTGTTTGCATTTCCCCTTTTCAGTATAGTATCCCTGATTAGAAATCAGTGCTTCAATCTAAACTATAAATGTAAATAAAATATGCTTAACAACTAGAACCTCACCTCAGATTTTAAAAAGTTAAGATAGTATTAATAAATCTTTACAGCATATGCTAACTTGTCAAAAACTCTCAAAACATGGAATACTCTATTTACTTTTAAGTGTATATTACCTTAGATTGCTGGAGGATGAAGAGCATAGGACTGTACATGGATAGTTAAAGGCTGAAACCAGTTTGTAGAACACTGAACCCACATCTAACCCTGTTGTATTCTTTATTAAACTTGTAAAAAATTATCTTTGAGATATTTTAATATTATAGCTCAAAATTTTGAATGATTTAGTATTATAGGAGAGTGTTCTTGAAATATATTTTTTTAGTACTCTCAAAATGTACGGTTTAGTGGGGTTGTGTATTTGGAGAAAATCTTGACCAGTTTTGTGTCCCGGCTTTCGGTGCTCCCCCCTCCCCCGATCTGTTTTTTGGGAGCCTCCTGAAATTGGAAGGGCAGATATCTGTTTTTGCTCTTGGGTGCTAAAAGATGGGTTTTCTATTGGCCCATTAGGAGTGGGGGGCTTCCCACCTGGGCTTCCCTTTCTGGCACATGCTTCAAGAATTCTTATGTGCTTTTTCTACTCTAGGGGAGGTGCTCAGCTGCAGGTATTGGCAGGCGCGAGTGCTTTCTGGGCCTGCACACCACACATGTACTTGCTTTCCAAGGAGAGTGCATGTGTGGTGTGCAGGCCCAGAAAGCACCAATGCCTGTATTTGAGTACCACACATATTAGAGTGTGTGGTGTGCAGGCCCACAAATCGCCCGTACCTGCCAGTGTCTGCATCCAAGCTCCTCTTACTCTAGAGCAGTGGTTCTCAACCTGTGGGTCCCCAGATGTTTTAGCCTTCAACTCCCAGAAATCCTAACAGCTGGCAAGCTGGCTGGGATTTCTGGGAGTTGTAGGCCCAAACACCTGGGGACTCACAGGTTGAGAACCACTGGGCCAGGGAGTATGGGAGATGGAGCGTACAGCCAGTCCTCCATATATCGTTTCCAACAGGGGTCCTGTGCCCCTAACCCAGGCATGAGCAAACTTCGACCCTACCAGCTGTTAGGAATTGTGGGAGTTGAGGTCCAAAACACCTAACTCCAATATGTATTTATTGATTAGTCCACTGACCATATCAACAATAAAAGACAACAACAACAACAAAAACACAGACAAATAAACACTAATCACTATCCTAAAATTCCTGTAATAGATAACTAAAATAAATTAAAACACAATAAAATTTTATTAAATAATAAGTATGGTAAAATGGGATTAAATTGCAAGATGAAAGCAGGGGGAGTAGAGTGACAGGTACATATGCACATAATAATAATAATAATAATAATAATAATAATAATAATAATAATAATAATAATAATAGACAGAGTTTTGGAGCACAATACTCCTGACCTCACGATCGTGTAAAAAAACAAAGTATGGATTGTCGATGTTGCAATCCCAGGTGACAGCAGGATTGAAGAGAAACAACTGGAAAAGTTGACACGATGGTTCTCAACCTAGGGTCCCCAGATGTTTTTGGCCTACAACTCCCAGAAATCCTAACAGCTGATAAACTGGCTGAGATTTCTGGGAGTTGTAAGCCAAAAACATCTGGGGACCCCAGGTTGAGAACCACTGCTAGAGTATGAGGAGCTTGGATGCAGACACTGGCAGATACGGGAGATTTGTGGGCCTACACACCACACACACACTCTTTTTCCAAGGCAAGGAAGCAAGTTCTGGGAGGTACTTGGCTGCAGGCACACACACTTTCTGTCCCGGACTGCACCATGCCAACCAACCACACAATCTCCAAGGCATTTTAAGGAGGCTTCCCACTTCCAGGTAAGGAAGTGGAGAGTAGTTTTCAGGGAATGAGGGTTTACTTTTTGTTTGCTGGGAGATTAATAAAAAAGATTAAACTGTGATGCCTAAAAGTAGGCCAGGAACTGGTACCCCGCTCCCTCTTGCTTTTGTGTTGAGCTGATTTTTGTACCGGGAAGGGCCTTCCTATTCCGTGCTCCCAAAGTAACAAAAGAAACGAATGGAAGGGGAGAAACGAATTCTGTGCACAACTCTACTGTTTAGAAAAATCACATTAATTGCTAGTGAATGTATTCGGAAGTTAGAAAGGGGGGGGGGGGGGTTGTCCACAGATCAGTTTTCTGAGATAAGAGAGCCTGTAAGCTTAAAATTAAAAGGGCATTACCAAAATCATTTCTGGTGATTGGGATTTTATCGCCTTCTGATGGGTTTATATGGGTGTGGCTAGATAGTATCAGATGGATTACTCAATTGTGAGAGAGCATTGTGCAAGAAGGTATTTTAAAACTACATACACTGCAGTATATGTCATCAATCGGATAATCTTGGGACTGGAGAAATTGAGGTCTACATTGGTTCTTATTGTAGGACTGATTTGTGGGAAGTGGAGCTTTTGTTTGAAGTGACTTTAAGCCTTTGTTGACTTTCATTTTTATCAAATCAAGCATGAAAATAGCCTGAAACCTTTCTACATGGCCTGACTAGCAGTCTGGATCGCAGTTAACATTGACCAGTGACTGCAAAACACTTGAATTGCTTTAGTGCCTATAAACTCTGTCCCTTATGTTTTATAAGCAGCAATTCTCTCCCTTTCTAACCTCACAGTTAATGCACTTTGGCATCAGAGAGAAATTACACAGCAGGAACTGTCAGTGCCCAAGCCAGAGCACTAAATAACCAGTGTAATGTACCTTTTCTTTTGCCATGAACTGGGGTAGTCAGGTATCATGCCTCCTGTCCGAACAAATTAGGGGGAGATACTGAGGAGTGAGCTTAATCCTCTCTTCTATGGCCTCATACTTTGTAGTAAGGCATAAATAATGGTTTCAGTATCAGGAAGGAGAAAGGATATCTTGGGACTTAGCCTTACAGAATTAGTTTGATTTTTGTCTCATCCCTTGTCCTATTGGACAGGTCCTGTACTGTCTCTCTGTAATGAGAAATATAATTATGGTTCTCCAGTAAAACACATCCAGTATCCAGGCAACAATCTCAAAGGCACACAGAGAGGCACTGCAATAACCAAGAGAGACTGGCTTTGTCATATTTTGTAAAGTATTTCTTTTTTTGAGGCAGAAAAAAGGTATTCCTCAAATGTATTAGAACACCCCTCCTTAAATATGAAAAATATTAGTTCCAATTCATATTCCTGCTGACCTTCAATATACAAAGCAAATGAGTTTTATAACTTTTATTGGAATTACTCCATAAAAAAACCCTCTTGCCCAGGAAAATGCAAAAACTTGATTATAGTCAGAGCACATAGCTATGTTTTACTTTGAACTATATGACAGACTAGGGACCTGATCACATTGGGCTATAATCCTTTTATATCAGTATGCATCCCATTTTTTTAGGACTTCATGCATACTGTATTGAGACGGGATGCATACTCTCCTCATCACACCTGATTAATACAATTCTTATGATTATTACAATTTTTATGATTTGAAAATGATGCACTTTGACTCATCATACCACGGAAGGCTGGCTCCTCCCAATCCATTCAAAACACCTCCTATATCACTCTATGACCATTGAAAAAAGTATAATTGCTGATAGGATCTTCTGGGACGACCCTGCTCTTGGTCCCACCTCCTTCACAGTTGCAACTGCTGGAAATGAGAGACAGGGCCTTCTCAGTTGTGGCCCCTCAGCTCTGGAACTCTCTTCCCAGTGAAATTAGATCAGTGTCCTTTCTCTTGGCCTCCAGGGAAAAAACCCCATAAAAGACATGGTTGTGGGACCAAGCCTTCAGGCAGTAAAGTAATGCATTACAAGAAATGAATAGGACCTAAGTGCAATTGACCATAGGAACGGCTTCGGATTATGATTCAGGATTTTGTGATTTTAATGCTATATTAAGATGTTTTTAATGCTATATTTTAATTTTAAATGCCTGTTTATATTTAATATGATTTTAAGGTTTAATTTATAGTTACATGTTATCATTTTAGTTATTATTCTTTGGTTTGTATATATTTTGGCATTGAATTTTGCCATTACTTATTGTACACTGCTTTAAGTGCCCTCGGGGGTGAGAAAAGCAGTATATAAATGCAGTAAATGAATAAATAAATAAATAGGATGCATACAGATCTTCCTATCACATACAAAAACAGTGCTTCATCAACGGAAGAATCTGTAGTATTTCAAAAACACGGTAATTCTGACTGCAACTAATCCGTTTCTGTGATGCTTTGTAGACAGTTTCCGATGGAATACTGACGGGATGGGCCAGCATCATGTAATGGGACCCGTTCAAGATCATTCCCAAACAGTCTCAGAAATTGAGTATTTTTTAACGTGATTAGATCCAAGGTGCCCATGCCAACAATATGTGACCAAATCCAAACCAGCCCACTTGTTCAGCAACAAAATGACTTCATGACTGTGTTCTAATAGACGTAAAATTATAAAATAATAGAACACACTACTACAGAATAAATGGATGCCTACTGCTTTGAGTCCCCCTAGGGGTGAGAAAAACAGTATATAAATACGGTAAATAAATAATACTAGCCTGTATTTTTGGAAGTTGTATAGGTGGAACATCAATTCTAAAAATAACATATATTAAATACAAAGCTTAATCAAAAGGTTTCAGTTTGAAAAGTTTGTTTATTACTGTTTTTAAAAATGGAAGAGTGCCAGGCTTCACATTTATTAGGGTACGATATATAAGCAAGGTCATAGAGCCTGTCTCAACAACCAAGATTTACTCTGATTTATATTCATTATTATTATACATATAATATGAAAGTGTACAAAGAATGACGTGAACAAAACTTCAAATTCACATGAATGCAAGGAAAAAGACACATTTTTCCAGGGACATTATTGGCACTAAACTATGTCATTTCAAACATAGTGGCCTTCCAAGTGTATTAGCAACTCTTGAGCTGAAGAGTTCTTCTGATCCCTGCGGTGAGATCCTGTGGAGTAGGGCTAGCAGCAGTACAACTCACTTTGATTCCTTCAGCTTCCAGGGCTTCAGCTGTTGTCGGACCTATGGCAGCAAACTGAAATGACAACCACGGCAAAGAGCAGGTATGGTCAAAGTGTGTGCTGCTTGAGGCTCCAGTATCACAGGCCTCATTGGTCCCTACACTCCCTTCCATCTCTGAGTGTGATAGTATGCCTCCCAAAGAGTTCTATGGACTATTTAGCCACAATTTCTGGGCCCAGATGAGCTTCCCATTTCAGAAAAGCCAATTCAGATTTCAGAAAAGTAAGGTGAAATCAGAAATACTAGAAAAATGTGGCAAAATGGTCATTAGCACTCCTCACCTTTGGCTAAAAATAAACAAACAAGAACAAAAACAGATCTGTATTTAATGGCATATGTAGATTGGCCATCATCTACTGATGAGAATATATATTCAGCTAACAATGAAGTAAAGATACAATTTGGATGATCCAGGCAAAGGAATCTTTCCTTTAGAAAACATCTCTCTGGTATTAAAATTAATAGCATCCATTCTCAATGGATTAATGTAATGGATGTGTCTGCTTGTTATTCTCCCAGCAACTGTAATATAATCATATTCAAAGTCTCCTAACAACCTTGTTGCTAAGACACCATATGGAATATCTATAGATTATTGTGATTCTGTCTCAGTAAGTTCTGATCTGCAAAAATATGGGGAAAGAAATATTATTTCCACAGTACAGAGGATCTTAAGGCAACTCTCACAAAAAGGTGAGTGGTCACACCAGAGGTAGAATAAAGTGATGAGAGAAGGGGAATTGGGACCCCCCCCCCCAAAAAAAAAAAAACTTGCAACAGAACTATATGAAATATTAGATTTCCAACAGCTGGTGAAAAAAAAACCAAATATGCTTTACCTTAATTTGGGTAGTGAGATCACCCGACAATTTCATAATCTGCTTCAGACAATACTTGACACCAGAAGGACTAAAAAATGTGATGCTCGCAGGAACACCCTGTGAAAACGCATTAAAGAGAGGAAAAGATAATAGATATTTATTTACCGTGTTTGAATGGTCTCTGCTGGAGACTGTAAATGGCCATTAGGGATGCTCTGTCTTGTAGTAGATGGTGCCAAGTACTAACCTTGCCTTGTTGGTTTGTTCCTTTTTTTAGGTGGTTATTGAAGTTTAAAAAAGGCTTGTAAATTCACAGCAGTCTCCAGCTGAGACCACTCAAACACATAATCAACAGGCTACAACCAGTTCTGGAGAACTTTTACACAAGGTGTAAAAGGCTGGGTTTTATTGACAAACAAGCAGCATCTAAATCTGCTCACTTACAGTAAAATACATAACATTGACAGTAATACAGGGATAAGGCCCTGGCTAAAACCCAGATGCTAATTCTGTGCCACATCTACAATGGGAGCAATTTTACATGGGCCAATACCATCAGAGGTGCATTTGAACTTTACCATTGATTTAGGATTGCCTGCGTGCCCTCATCCTTCTTTGAAAACCCTATCCCATTATTTTTAAAATTTTAAATTATTACATTTGGCCTGGCCATAGGTTTTTAAATGCTTGTGTGTTATTGTTCTTGTTTATTGTCTATTTTTTGTTTATGAGATTTATATTAACTGTTTTGTATTGATTATTTTGTTATTACCTTTGTTTATTGAGGTACTGTGGGCTTGGCCTCATGTAAGCCGCACCAAGTCCCTTGGGGAGATGGTAGCGGGGAATAAATAAAGATTATTATTATTATTATTATTATTATTATTATTATTATTATTTACTTGCTCGTTGTCCAATGTGATATATGCTATCCCAAGCATGGACAAACTAAGGCCCGGGGACCAGATGCAGTCCCCTGGGTGCTTACCTCAGGCTCTCCTCATTTTCCCTATCCTCTTGGATTAAGGACATGGTGGCCCGCCATGTCCTTATGCCAAAAAGATGGGGGAGGAAGGCATGTAACAGCTGAGAGACCTCTGGAGCGCTCTCAGCCATGCTATGTCTCACCCTCGTCTTGGTATAAGGATGATGCAAGCGACCCCATCCTTATGCTGGGAGGACGGTTCAAGGAAGGAACACAGCGACTGAGAATCTTCTGGAGCACACTCAGCTCTGTCTCACCTTCTTCCCAGCATAATGCCAAGGAGGATTGGGGGAGGAGGATGGGAACGAGGATTGGGGCAGCTGCCACGTGTCCCACCTTCCTCCCAGCATAAGGATGGATGAGTACTCCCGTCCTTATTAGGATGACTCAGGCCCTGCCCTGCCCCCTCCTGGTGCCATCCTTTCCTGGGCCCTCCCCACACAGCATGTGTCCCCCCCCCTCCTGGCCCAGCCCTCCCGCCCGGGCCCACAATGCAGCCACAAAACAAAAAAGTTTGCCCATACCTGTGCCATCCTACGCTAGCAATGCTTCTCTGAGCTCTACATTGGACAAACGAGTCAGTCTCTACACAAGATGATTACACAAATGTGACAGAACAGAAAATACCCTAATATCAATTGCAGAACATCTAAGCCTTTCTGGATATATAATACGATATGTACAGGCTGAACAAGGGAATTACAAAATAATTTTGAACAAGGGATTGTGTTACATAGTGTTGTCAGACAACCTGTGCAGCATTATTATTATTATTATTTTTCAACCTGTAGCAACCAGGTAGTGTAACTCACCTGTTGTGAGAAATAATTTCTCAAGGATTCTTGAAGATCAGGATGTTGTGTAGTTTGATAAACAGTGAGAATTTCCAATGCGATCCCTGCAATATAATCCATGAAATATAATAAGGATTAAGAAGTATTTCATGAGTTTGAATTAAAACACGAGGAGCACATCCATACTGACACCAAACTAAATATTTCTATTACATTTCTACTGAACTACATGTACATGTGGCTTAGAAGATTCAGCTCAAATACAAGTAGTTTAACCACTTTGTTCCTAAAAGTCATTTTTAAAAAACAAGGTCAAAGAAGAATGGCATTGGAAAAATAGAAAGTTTTCAGAGACTTCAGGTGGGAAACTTACAGGTTGAACATCCCTTATGATATGAGGAGTTTCCTTGGAACGTGGTAGAAAAGAGTAGTAGAGTTGAGTGTCATCTGCATAGAGATGTTCCCCAACTCCAAAACTCCGGATGACTGTTCTTGACAGAACGAGCAAACAAATGGAAGTGGGTGCCTTTCCTTATTCTGTTCTTTTCAAACTCAAAAGACCAAAGCTTTGTAACAAACCTTTTTCCCTGAGTATTGTTGGAAGCGTTTCCCTTTTCAGACTGCCACATGGAAACAGAAGAGGCAAAGAGTTGGGCGATTCCCCTGTTTAAAAGGAAAAGATTTAATTCACCATGCATCTTAAGAATAAAGACCAGAAAATTAAACTGTAAAGTAGTCACATTCTAAAGTAGGAGAAGAAATTATACTGCTCTCCTGGTGTTACTGAATTACAATTTGCAATAATCCTCATCATCAGCTATATCAGCTGGAGCTATTGGGAGTTGCAATGCTACACAGTTCTCATCCTTGCTTTAACCACACAGCAAAAAGTGTGACATGTATTGGATTCTTAAAATAACTGAAAATATTTATGTTCAAGGCACATGTGAATTTCACAGAAGCTCTTTAACATCATTTTTTTTTAAAAAAAGGGGAAATTCATTGTTAAGGCATGGTTCGCTAAGGCTATAAGGATTGACAAAAAGATAAATTGCCTTGGTGTGCTCCGTTTCTTTTGCTGTTCAATAGAGAGTTACCAAGCACAACGCTTCCAATCATTTTAATACGTTTTCTCAATTCCCTCCAGTCACTTGGCATTCCTCAGACTTCACACACAAACTTGTTTAGCTTTTTAAAGACTCATTCCAACAGAATACATTTGCTGCCTGACATTCTACACAGAAGGAAAGGTCACAGTAGTCACAAAAAGGGACAACTACTTTGTAAAATAAGAATTCCCAAATACTATCCGGCTATTACCTTAACCTCATTGTTTACTCTAGACTTCTACTACTGAGGAGAATGGTTTCTATGTGGCTATAATTTAACTATTTTCCTGTTTTTAAAATGGAAGTCCCTTTCCCTACATATCTACCAGATAAATCTAGCATACACATATCCCTGGAAAAGCATTGCTCATGGAAGAATAATTTGTGTTGTGTTCAAGAGTACAAAAATATCTTCTGATATATTTTTATGATTCATTTATGGAATTTATTGACATGAGATATGGATATGGATACTGATTACATGGGTTTTTAAAAACAATTTATTCATAAATGGTAAGCCCATTAACAAATATCAGCTATGGGTGCTTCCAGACAGCGTTAAAAAGTGGGTTTTAACAGTGGGGCCAAAAACTCCCAGGATCTGGCAACAAGTCCACACACATACCTGTCAGTCCCAGGAAAATACTCCCCTGCTGTCCTCACACCTTGCTTTGAAGTGGATCAAGATGGAAGACAGACAGGGGACATCCGGCTGAAGGTTTTTTTTAATCTCTCCAAGATGTGCTGGACCTCATATACAAACATGCAGATGCACCAATGTACACACAAGCATATTTATTGTTCCTCACTTTACCCAATTGTTAATTCAAGAATTAAGAAAGAAAAGAATGGTTGAAGAGAGTTCTAAACTGCTTTCCAATTGTGCTTCCCTTTAGCTACCTGTGTGTCCCTGGCTCCAGTTTCTGACACCCCGACCAGCTGTTTCAGACTTTTAAAACATGTGCTCTTGAGCAATCCACACAAGGACTGCTCAAGGGGGGATGGGAAGGAAGTCACGTGTTTTCCATGACTGCAGTGAAATGCAAAGGTGCACATTTTTGAGACAGAATCAGGTTTTAAGCACACCTTTTAAACACGTGCTTTTCAGCCATGAACCCGATTCCGCCCAAACTTTGACTAAACTTCATTTAGCACCCCCCTTTTATCCCAGTTACTTCCAGGTTTTACTGGATGTTATATTGCCCTATACAACTAAATTGATCTTGCATATTCAGAGAAAATATCATTATTTCTATTTTTATTTTTGATAACTCAGTATTAATGCTGATCCTTATATAGGTAACTGTTTAAAAGAGAGACATGTATCCCAGCTCGTGGAGTGATATCCACTTCATCATACTAGAGAAAAAAATCCACTTAAAATCCAGTTTCTGCCTCCTGCAGAATTCTGTAGTTTAGTGAGGCTGTTAAAGGCTCCTCCCTAAACTACAAACCCCAGAATTCTGCAGGAGGCAGAAATTGGATTTTAAGTGGATTTTTTCTCTAGTGTGATGAGGCCCATATATAGAAATATAAATTTCTTTGGGAGCAGGAGGAGCTGGTGAGGGACAATACCAATCTGCCTGGCTATTGTGAGAAACTAGATACTAATCTACACATATAGTCCCATAGAAGAACTCTTATATTCTTAATGTGGGCCAATAACACTATGTAACCAAATTCGGGAAAAAAATATGTTCTTAGTTTGAAAGTGCTATATTCTGTTTAATTGTGCTGTACTTACTTTGAAAGTAGTTTTTATGCTCTGGAAACTTCTTTGTTTTTGTGGCTGCCACAAACTATGTGAACCCTCCTGTGGTCGCACTGAGACTCCTTCGGGGTTCAGAAGGGTGGTATACAAATGTTGCAAATAAATAAATAAATTGAATTGGTTAAGCCTCTTTGAGATATTCACTGAAAAACTATAGCAAAATGTACTGCAGGATTAAACTTAAACTCATGGGACACGAGGCAAAACTCTGAATTTTTCCAAAATGGTTTTGATGCCTGGGTTAAAAGATGGTGCAAATGTGTACAAACTGGTGGTGACTACATTGAATGGTAGGTTTGCGTGGACAACAGTTCAGGCTATGATCTGCAGCAACTTCTGCTGTTGGCCATCTGTCGGGGGTGCTTTGAAAGAGATTTTCCTGCTTCTTGACAGGGAGTTGGACTGGGTGGCCTACAAGGTCTCTTCCAATTCTATGATTCTATATGTTCATTCATAACATTTTAATGACATAGGAGGCAAAACTTGTTGACTCACTCGCCTACATTTATGATTATTCATTATTTTTATTATAATTATAATTATTGATATATTTTCTCCATTGAGCTCAAGGCAGCTCTCTTCCTTCCTGTATTATCATCACAACTACTCTATGAGGTCAGCTCGGCTGAAAGAGAAGGGCAAGCTCATGGGCACCTGATGTATTTTACAGTTAGTAGGGGACTTTAAGTTGGACCTCCTAAGCCTAGGTCCAACATCTCAACCTCTATATTGCATTGGCTCAAATTATTTTTATGTGGCTATATTTCTGAACCAAACTATGAATGCTAGGAATATGTTCTCATACTAGATGGTTTTTAACTGGGATAAAAGTGGAAAGTATAATTAAAAATAAAGAGCAAAATCCAACTAACGGTCTCAACCTACACTAGACCCACCGAATCAATGGTAAGTTGGTTAAGTCACCACTGTTGTAAGTTGCATTGATTCAATGTGTCTACTCTTGGTGAGACTACTGATTGAGGTTTGGCCAAACTTTTATTTGGGGTTCAGGAGAGAAAGAACAAAACACTGTTTGGGATGTTTGTTTAAAATGCTACCAACACATTCTTTCCTTTTAATCTTAAGCTCCCAAGGTTCCTCCAGGAGCATAAAATCTAATAAAATCAGACCAAAGACCTTATTAGGAGTCTGGACAGATTTATCTGAATAACCTAATTGCAAACTGAAGCTTTATTAGGCACCACAGATACGTCAGTAATAAATCACAGGAAGCAACAAAGAACTTGAGGCAGAATATAGAGCAGTATTTTCTGAGATAAAAGCAAAATATGCTAATAGAAATCCCACTAAGACCTGTGTCAGTTAATTGAAATGCCAATGTGATATTTTGAAAAGTAATGCTAATCCTTTTAGAATTGTGTTTAGAAAAAATGAGCACCAACTTGATAACTCTGACCAATATAACAAGCCATAGCCTTGGCAGTATTATTTTCTTCCCACGATCAACACAGAGGCATTGGAGTCTCTGTAAGATTTGTCTTAAGAAAAAGGTTGACACTACCTATTCAATTAAGGAAATGATTCCTATATTGGTTCACCCACGCAATTCAGCCAAAGTCAGGTCTAAAGACAAGGAAACTGGAACAACAAATACAACTGGGTTGGAACCCAATTTTAAAAGCCCATTCTTCCCATGGTCAAACACTGCAAGGATCAACAACCATTTAAAGTCACTGTTGTCAACCTGTCTAATTGACATTTGAAAGAGGAAAATATGATCCTATTTTTGTTTAAAGGCCCATTGTGATCGTTCAAAAATAATGATAAAGTAAGAGTGATACAGTAAATAATCCAGTTACTGAAATGCATTTATCTGCTTACGGGAACAAATGTATCCAGAGAGTTTTTCAGCATTCCCAGAGTTTTCTCCTTGTGGTCTAAGTCCAAATTCAGCTACTAAAGGATAAGATGAAAAAAATAATTAAAGTAAGACATATTTTTTACAAAGTCAATGAAGAAATTCATGTTCAAAAAATACTTCCTGAGATTATATTTAATCAAGGAATCTTTTAAAAAGCAATTTACGAATGAGAAGTAGAATGTGTTATTTCAAATGCTTGAAGAGCTACATTTATTTATTTATTCTATCTCTATCCCGCTCTTCCCACCCATGCAAGGGACTCAGAGAGGCATATATAATGGCAATATTCAATGCCGTATATACAATAACAGGATATACAATACACAAATGCAATAAACAATTAAAACATAATATCCAGCCCTAAGGACGTCATTAAAATGGACAATAATAAAGTTGCAGAGTGATAAGTTAAAACTGTGGTCCACCATAGTCCCCTTCCAGACAGCTGAATAAAATCCCAGATTATCTGCTTTGAACTGAAATATATGGCAGTATGTACTCAGATAACCCAGTTCAAAGCAGATACTGTGGGATTTTCTACCTTGATATTCTGGGTTATATGGCTGCATAGAAGGGCCCTTATATTAGTTTCACTGAACAGTTACAGCAATCTGATACCAGTTTAAATACCACGGTTCCATCCTATGAGATCCTGGGACTTAAAGTTTCATGAGACACTTATAATACTCTTCTAAGAGCCTTCTACAAATGCCCGAAAACGTGGAAGAAACCAGGATAAAAGGGGATGGTAGCTAAATGATGTTTCACAAAAATGCACACTGATTCAGATTTACAGTTGAAAAACATGTGTTAAAAAGATGCTCTTAAAACCCAATTTTGGCAGGAAAATTTGGATATTCACTTGACTGTATATCCCTGTAGTCAAGGAAAACATGTCATTTCATTTCTGTACACTGATGTGGACTCCTCCTGTGCTTGTGTGCATTTTAAAATCCTCAAAAAGCTGATCTGGATTGTAAACAAATGGAGCCACAGACACACAGGTGGCTAATTGGAAGCACAATTGGAAAGCAACTACAATGACAACTCTGCAACCATTCCTTTGTTCTGATCTTTATAAAATTAAACAGAGTTTGAATTTACAGGGGGGTGAGGAGATATAATAAGAAATCTGCTTGTGTGTGCATTTAGATATCCGCATGAGTGCATATGACGTCCAGTGCATCTCAGAGTCAATTAAAAAAAAAACTTCCACCGGGTGTCTCCTGTTCATCTTGCGGATTTCTAAAATCCGCTACAAATGAAGGTATCAGGACAGTTGGGGACCATTTACCAGTACTGATTTATGCCCCTCTTATTTGTCTTGCTTATAAATGCCCCAGAGAACTCTAGTGCATCCCTAAATAACAAATAGTAGGATTCTGTAGCATGCAGCCATGGTAATTAAAATTGTGCAGAATGAAAAAGCCTCAGTCTACACACTACTTCTACACATACTTATAGGATCATTCAAACACCATGAGAATATAGGGAAGAATATTTGGTTATATTGGGGTGCAGGCATGTAGCCGGGGGGGGGGGGCTGGAGGGCCCCCCCCCCCCAATTTTCATGGTGGTTCGCGAAAAGGCCTTACTGGTGCATTATTTAAACTGTTATGTTTATTCATATCATGATCTGATCACCATGCTCAATATATCCCATATGCATGGGGGTATTGGGGTAATGATACAAAAGGTTTGCTAGGGTAGACCCTCTTTCACTCAGACTCAGCCCCCACCCTCCCCTCGAAACAAAATCCTGGCTACCGGCCTGTTGGGGTGGGTGACTTCTAAATACTTTTTCCCTCCCAAGGAGGAAGTTCAGAAGTCATTTCTTTGTAAATAAAGGAGATGGAGTAGATTTATCACTGCCGGTCTTCAGCAATCTGGCAGCATTCCTTTTATAATATGGATTGTGTGTCTCGTGTTCTCAAAGGCATTCATGGAGGAGAAAGATGCCCCAAAATGCAGCCTAAATGCACTGTTAATAGATTTGAAGTATCACAAGGTAACAAGAAAACCCCCTCAAATATATTGTCTCACAAAGCTCCAAAACAGAAGAAAATAGAAAATTGCCAATAACCTACCAATGGCAAATGGCCTAGTCAACAGTTTACTGTTACCTACCGCAGTGAAATGTACACACTTGTCACAAATCATTAACTCAAGATATATTTCACTATAGCTTTGCCTGTCAAGAATGTCCCCAGTTAGTGCTGTTTAGTGAGAAATATAGCACAGCCAGGGTTTCAGGGGGAAAATTAGCTGGTGGGCAGCATGAAGCCCGCGAGCTATAAAGCCATTTGTGTAGCTTGTCAGAGTTCCTGATGAAATCATGAGAATCTAACTCAAAAAAGGAAGAAAAACTAAATCTCTAAGCATTCTGGAGGTTGTGAAAACTGAGATGTCACTGTCAACATACCAAATGGTCACAATCAGACAGATCGGTGACTTCAAACATATTATGCCTTGAAATTTAATTCTTTTAATATCATCTGTTCATAGTTCTTTGTTTATAAAACTATCGTAATGATCCAAGGCAGCTTAACTAAAAATAATAATAACATAAGACATAAACACTATATTTATTGTAATGATTCATATCTGTGTACTCTAACATTCATCAAGGAATGCCAGCAGGGCCCTTTCCAGCCTTTGACTCATTTTTTTTTTTTTTTGCAGTTTGTATCTTAAATGCTTTGAGTAATATAAAGAAATATCAAACATAAATATTTAAAAATAAAATCAATTCTATCCACACAAAAAACATCATAGTGCCAGAAAACATCCTCCAAATGTTAGAATTAGGAAAAAGATCTTCTCCTTAATGTAATGTAGACTGAAACCATAGGGCTTTAAAGGTTAGAAAAATAGCCCCAGCAATTTGAACTGCGCCTGGGAGACTATTTATAGTCAATGCAATCAGCTAGGAATTGGAATTACACATACTTTACATCCTATTAGAGAAGCAAGATGCAGTTAGAGCATTTTAAAACAGCAGCAAAAAGATATTCCAAAATAAAAACAACCAAAATTACAGCCCTTGATCTACTATATTATATACAATACAGGGCAGTCTTTCTCTAGATCAGAGCTTCTTAAACTTTTTCCACTCATGACTCCTTTCCATCCAAGATTTTTTTTTTACATGACCCCGGATAAATAGGTACATAAAATAGGTATAAAACCCAAATCTTTATTGATAACAAACCAGCATTTGCAAAGCTTCCTAAGCAGGCTGATCTTCCTTTTTATGAACTACAGCTGAAGCATTTGCATCAGAGTCTGCTGAAAACACTGAATGTTGTTGCTTACAGATTCACATAATGTCAAAAACAGCCACTAGGTGGCATTCAGAAACTTTTTACTGTTGCCAAATGTTTTGCAATCCCCATTTTTCAATTAATTTCTGTTTACTCATTTGGGGGTCGTAATCCATCAAAAGTGCTTCCTATGGTGCTCACTGTGTACTTTTCCAGAATTACCATACAAGATCATATATCAACTGACGTCATGACTTCATGGGCAGTTTGGGGGAGTGGGAACTGCTGGATTTTAATGTGGCCTGTGGTGAAGTTAGAAGTAATTTCATGAAAAGGGGAACATCTCTGTGCCTTCTCAGGAGGCTAGTTATCCCTAGCTGACGCCATAATTTTCCACCCAGGCATTCAAAAATAAGCCAAGGCAGAGAAAATACAGGATGTTGGTGCTTCTTCTAGGTTCTCCAGAGGGCCCTTCCAGACAGGCCTTTAACCCATTACCTGAGGTGTCCAAATGATGTCTCAAGTAAACCCAAATTAATCTGGAGTAATCTGGGATTTCTGAGTTTACTACAGACTAATTAAGCAACTGGAAAGATCCAGACCTCAATGTAAGGACCAGATCTTTCCAGGTGTGGGCCCTGTGAGGTTTAACTCCGAGAATCGCTTCTACAATCCCAGGGGTCAAACCCCTCAATGAACCCAGTTCTTCAGGTTCCTGGAGTCCAAAGGAGCAGGATGGCGCCCTCATGTTCTTCTCCCAGCCCCTCATTTAGCCCCTTTCATTGAAAGCTCCTGGTGTGTCAAAATTACATGTCAAGAGGTGGGGGGAGAGGAGGAAAATGTAGCCATCCCCTTCACGCAGGGGTTTGGGGACTAAGGGCCCACACAGCCATATAACCCAAAATATCAAGGCAGATGATCCACAATATCTGCTTTGAACTGAATTATCTGAGTCCACACTGGCATATAATCCAGTTCAATGTGGATTTTATGCAGTGGTGTGGAAGGGCCCTAAATCCTAGAACCATCCCTAGGACTACGTTCTTGCCTTTTGCTACTCAGAGAAAGAGATGGGGCTTTTTTAGATATTGAAGTTATGGTACAGTAATTACATTGACCTGTGCACCTTGCCCAGTTTTTCTGGGTTAGTTTTTGGAGTAAAATCTCTAAATTTATACATTACATACAATAAGATCCAGCATTCAAAGACTGCAGGCCTTCACTGGCCCTTACCAGCAAAGAAGGATATGCACTATCATTACTCCATTTCATCTTCATTCAACTTTTGACTATTCATACCTCTCGAATTGATTTCTATTTCCTAATAGTGACCTGCACCACTAAACCTGAACTTACAAAATGCTTTGAGAAAGAAAATCAGGATATTGATGATACCAACTTTAAATTCTCAGATATGTCCCAGATATTTTCATTCATATGTTAAATAGAATAAGATGTAAATGGCTTATACGGAACAGCAACGGTCCCCATTTTCTCTGTAGATCTTGAAAAAGACACCATCAACCAGGAAAAAATGTCTTTGGTCTTAAGATAGACTCAGAAGGGTCAATAACGTTAGTTGTATTCAAGAATCTGCTCTATTATGTTGGTTAAACATTACTCTAGCCCATCATTTAAAGATATCTTCTGAGTCCAGGAAGATTTTTTCTTTAAACAGTCTACTTGTGAAGATACTACTCTACCTTTTAAAGATACTACTCTGCCTTTTCAGTCACTGAATTTTTTTTTAAAAAAAACCCTGCCAGTTTCTTCCACCACTATTTAGCCATCATATCAAAAGTTTATGTGTATATATGTATATGCAACAATAGCCAGAGCCCAAGGGAAAAATACTTAACTAATATATTCCCTAGCACACACACCCACACATTCCTTCGGCTGTTATATTGCTCACAGCTGGTCACCAATGTAAACTGGACTAAAGACCGTTCGGCCGTTGCCACCAATTTGAAGGATTAGAGTAGAATATTTTATTTTCTAAGGCTCCAACTGGACACCTATCACAAAGCTCGATGTGTACTGTGGAATTACTGCCACCACTCAAATAGATTTGAGAATTTAACTTGATGTTATGCCTGAGGTAAAGCTTGTTGTTTCCCAGCCCTTCCTTTAACTCCCTTTAAAGTGTCTGGGGTCAAAAGATGTTAGAGATTACTGGAACAGGCCTAATGAAATGAATCAACGTGAAGACTCTATGGAAAGTTGAACTAGAACAAAGTTTATTTATATATACTGGAACAAACAACAAAACTCTTCTTAGAGTTACACAAGCGTAATGGTTAGCACAGCACAATCTTCTCAAACGGTTGCTAAGTCCTAACAAGTTTACTGGACTCCCCAACTGGGTATCTGTTCTTCAACATGAGCAAATTCCCTCTGGCAGACTAAACCTATCTGTCCCCACAGCGTATCTAGCTTTCCTAGAATACCCTGTCCTTAGAGAGAGTAAACACAACCAGTGTGTTTCCACCCACACCAGTTCACAGGCGGCTATTGACCCTCCAGGCCACTCTATAGCCACACCTGCCTTTAAACACTCTCCCTCAGGAAATCTTCAGCTCATTCGAAAATCCACCCTCTCCCTTCAGATCTAAAATCCAATCTCTCTCTCTGTCAGAAGCTGCCTGCCTTTTTTCCCACTCACGGCTCCAGCTCCTCCCATCTGTCCTAGCCAATCCTGGGATAGCTAAACTCCTCCCCTCTGCTGATCTGACTCTCCTTGTATTTCCCTCACCAACATGGAGGCCGGCTTACTGACTTTTAGGCTTCGGCCTACAAAGGTATGAGTCCATTACAGTATACTTCCCCAGAAGTACTGTCCTAGCCTCAGGTAAAATTAATAAAAACTTATCCAAAATTGTGATGATGCTAAAGATAATGTCAGGGATTCCCTGGAGGAACCCCCAAGGACCTTTACATTGATAAATTGTAACTGGATTCTAGCTACAATGTCCTTCCAAACGTATTCAACTGGTAGGATTATAAAACCTCTGGACTAGGTTTGGATTTTGCTTGGACAGAATCCAGGGCTGGCTTTGTCAAAAGGCCTTCTATAACTGTTCCTGCTTATGCAACTTTTCCCTGCTTTTCTGCTGGGCTGTTTTCAGGATCTAATAATTTCATCCTTCCAGATGTTTCAGCTCTCTAGGCAGCTTATAATAATAATAACAACACTTTATTTGTACCCCGCTACCATCTCCCCAAGGAACTCGGTGCGGCTTACATGAGGCCAAGCCCGCAATACATCAATAAACAGAACATCAATAAAATAAAACATCAATAAATAATGCAATATAAATCATAATCACATAAACAAAATAGAAAATAAGCAATCAACAGTGACATATAAACATTTAAAACCAAAGCCTGACATAGCTCTAAATTCAACAGTGCCCATCAAACCGTATATAAACAATTTCATTGATGAAATATCTTGCAAAAAATCGTATCATCTTATAAGCTATTTATTTATTTATTTATTTATTTATTTATTTATTTCCCCATCGGATCCTGAAGCTTCACAGAAGACCATGGACTTCATCACATGCGTTTCTATACATTATGAAACACGTGTGATGCAAACCCATCACATGACACAAACTTGTACCATGGATTCCAGATAGTTCACCATTTCTATTGTGTGTTTCTTTCCTATGCTTCTTAAGTTGATTGGCTATTCACCTCTTTTTTAAATTCTGCATATAGAGATGTGTTAAACCGTGAAATTTAACATGTGATGGGAATTCTCCATTGTCCGCTTGTAAAGGTAATGATGACGTTACCATTGTCCGCTTGTAAAGGTAATGATCTCGGAGGGAGGAGCCGAGATGGGTAGTGTAGTATCCTATCTTTCGCCATAATTTTTAGAACTGAGGAGGAAGGAACAGTATTTCATATCTTTTTTTAACAATGCAAATTCAATAGTTACCTTTTGAATTGAGAGGTATCTGTACTTATAAATTGTACAGTCTATAGTCTAATATAGAATAGGAAAAATCCAATTTAATGATTTCACGTTGAAATGTAGTTCTGTGAGAACAAACACAGAGAATTTCTTAAAGTAAAAGAAAACAGGGTATGAGACAGTGGGAGGAGAATGTCTCCTGTGTGATGAGAAAGCAAACTGAGAATTTGAAAAGAAAGCTGAACGAAGGAAAACATGTGATGGGAGTAGGAAAATCATTCGTTTAATTGCCAAATGTGGCGTTGCAAAGCTTAAGGGAAAAACAATGATCCCCATTACTTATTGCATGGGATGAAGTCCTAAAAATGTGTGTGTGTGAAAACACTATTATAAAAAGACCTAGGTCAAGCATCTCTAACTGCGGCCCTCCAGCTGTTTAGGCCCCCAACTCCCAGAAGTACTAGGCAGCTTGTTCAACGGTCAGGAATTCTGGGAGTTGAAGGGATACAGTATGAAGATGTCTAACTTAGGTTATAACACCATTCTCACTTATCTGGAAGTAAGTCCCATTTATCTCAATGGGGCTTATTTCCAAGCAGGCATGTGTAAACGTGCACTTTGAAAATATCAACATACAACACAAAACAAAGATAAAAAGCAGAAAAAATAAATATTTAAAGACTGTCAAAAAAAAAGGGAGTTTCCAGTTAGATATGGAAGCCAAGAAGACTGCAATGAGAGTCATTTCTCAGTCTAGATTTCCCAGTTATTTCTTCTTCATTCTTTGTTCATATTTGTTATCACCATGCATATATATACACATATAAAGGTAAAAGGTTTCCCCTTGACATTAAGTCTAGTTGTGTTCGACTCTGGGGAGTGATGCTCATCTCCATTTCTAAGCTGAAAAGCCAGTGTTGTCCATAGACACCTCCAAGGTCATGTGGCCAGCATGACTGCATGGAGCGCTATTACCTTCCTTCCAGAGAGGTACTTATTGATCTATTTACATTTGCATGTTTTCGAATTGCTAAGTTAGAAGAAGCTGGGGCTAACAACAGGAGCTCACCCTGCTCCTCAGATTCGAACTGCCAGCCTTTCAGTCAGCAAGTTCAGCAGCTCAGTGGTTCAACCTACTGTGCCACCGGGAACTCCAACTATTTATATATATATATATATATATATATATATATATAAATAAAGTTGTATATATGTATATACAACTTTTGATAAAACATGGCACATCGTATTTTATTAATACTTACACAGGAGCTATTTTAAAATGTGGCTTACCTAGTCCAGCTGTAGCTTTTCCAACTACATAAATTGATTTGGTGTTCCATTTTTCCCTCAGATAATTTTCCCAATCTGTAAAATATTAAATTTCATGTTGGTGGTAAAGTAAAAATATTGAAATACTTATTCGAACATTTACACAAAACATTGCTTATTTTGAAAATATGTGTGTGTTCAGCAAAATTGTAATATCTACCATTATGTTATAAATACCAGTGACTATGTAAAACAAATTTTGTTCACTACAAAAAGCAATTACCAAATATACTTCAAATATGTGAATATTCAGAAGCCACTTCCCTTAGGGAGTAGGTATTTACAACTCTGTTCTAAACACTATGAGTAGAAAGGAAAGAACATGTGTGCTGATTTTGCTTATGCACTCTTGATACCCAAAAGTGTTATCAAAGCTAGTGCATTATCCTAAAATGCTACATTTAATTATTGTACTGTTCAAACTTTCACCTACCTTCTTTATTAGAATGATTCTCCAGACATAATTTAATAGCTTCCACTGCTCTCGGACTCGTAAAAATTAGTCCAAGATATTGTTCAGGATGAGAAAGCTATTCGCCAGCAAAGGAAGAAAAAGTGACAGAGAGAAAGTGTGATAGAGAATGATTACATATTAATATAATTGACAAGATTTATTTTGTAAAATAAAATATGATAAAATAATAATTTACAAAAATAGTATTTAATTTTTAAAGGGAGGGACGTGAGTGTCCTTGATGATATACTTAATCAAAATATTAATACAATCAACAACAATGTGAAGTTTTTGTTTATCTTAGTTCTGAGTTCAATAGCAGCATGAAGAGAAAATAAAGCTCCATCTATACTTCCTCTCAATCAGCAAAAGTTGAGAATGGTTTCGGGATGAACACCTGCCCTTCAAAATCCAATTTACACACTATATATGAACTGCATTCTAATAATCTACACTGCCATATAATCCACTTCAAAGCAGCTAATCTGGATTTCATATGGCAGTGTAGAAGGGGCCTCAGTCCCACAAAACCATGGGAAAGGTTTGCCTTAGGATCAACATAAGTTGGAAACGACGTGGAGGCACACAACAACAAAGCTAAGTACCTAACCAAATAAGTGCAGTACAGAGGAAAGAAAAATATTGAAGCATAATTTTTGCAAACATGCTCTCGCCAGCTAGAAAGAGCAAAGAAAAGTTTATTGATTAGTCCATTGACCGTATCAACATTAAAAACAAAAACAGAAATGTGCACCAATAGACAACAATCACTATCCTAAGACTTCCACAATAGTGAACCAACATACATCCAAACCTGATCAAGTTAAAAGATAATTAAAAATATCATCATTAAAATGCCAAGGTAAAATTTCACACCACAAAAATTAAAAACGAAGGTTAAAATAGACCAGCTATTACACAATCCCAAGCCACTTCAGATATCTGCATYACCCCTACAGTTTACCCCAATCGCCTCCAGATAGAAAGTGTAAAACTTACTTTTTCAAACAAGGACTGAAGAGAAATAAATTCAAAAGCTAAAACTGGAATCAACGTTGCTTCAAGCCCATATGATCCCAACTCCTACGGATGAGAGTAAATAAACACGGTTTTGTGATAAATGATTAGCATTAACATTAACACTCTTCAGAGTCATTCTGGAACTACTTAAAACTAGAAAATTATCTTTGACTGCAATCCTATACCTGCTTACCTGGATGTCCATAGAAACCATTGGACTTATTTCTGAATACAAMTGTATAGATTGATGCAGTTACATGGCAACAACAACACTATATAGTTTATATAGAAACAGTGTGTAATATATTTAATGTGGAACGAGGACCAAAGTAATGCAACTATGCACAACACAATTGCAACAATACAAAAAAACCAGRCCCTTAAGGAGAGGAGGATGATCCAAAGGCACTGCTTCCAAGCTGCAAGCTTTCTTCTCCTTGGATTTCTTTGAGAGCATCCCAATCCCTGCATATTTCCAATTTCCTATTCCTGCAACTCCCAGCAATCCTACAGATAGATAGATTAGATAGAGATAGATAGATTGGTAGATAGATAGATCAGGAGGACTGCTGGGAGTTGCAGTCCAAGAATAGGTAGAGAAGGAAGAATGGAGAGAAAGAGGAAGGGAAAGAAAAGGGAGGGGAAGAAGGAAGGGAAGAAGAAGAGAAGGAAAGAAAGAAGGATGGAGAAAAAGAAAGAAAGAAAAAAGGGAAGGAAGGAAGGAAGGAAGGAAGGAAGGAAGGAAGGAAGGAAGGAAGGAAAGAAAGAAAGAAAGAAAGAAAGAAAGAAAGAAGGAAAGAAAGAAAGAAAGAAAGAAAGAAAGAAAGGAAAGAAAGAAAGAAAGAAAAGAAAGAAGGAGGGAAGGTAGACCACAGCAACGCATGGCAGGTACAGCTAGTTAGTCAAATAACATTTTCTAAGGTTTTCCAATCTTATACTAAGGATACTTACTTCTATATATGGATCTGGCCCATTTTCACTTTCTTTGGGATCCTTCAGCAACAGGACTTTCATTGTTTACTGAAGAATGGCTAGAAAAAGCAGGAATATAAATGAAAATATATCTAAATTAGATCTAGAGGACTCGTCTCTATAGGAAGTCTGTACAGTTGAGGACCTCAAGAAATAGGAAGATTAACAGCTTCACCAAAGTCTTCTTTGTCGCACAGTGAGTAAGCAGTTACTATGCATTCTCTGGGAAGGAACATCTACTCTGATAAGGCGAACAAAATGCATGTTGGTTTTAAATGATATGTTCCTCTGTCCCAAGGGGAGAAAAGATAAGGCAGAAATGCATTTGTTTTGCTTCTTAAAGTAACACAGTTCTAAATCCTATTGCTTATCCCTATTACAAAAAACCCATTGGGTTCGATGCTGAATTGCAAATCGGCATATAGGTAAATCTCATTGATTCAATGGATCTTCTCTAGCTGAGATTCTGGTAATTATATTTTAGCCACCAATATATAGTAGAAACTACAACCTCTTCATACTGTAGAACTTCAACACACTCTCAGAACTTCACACACTCGTATACACAATCCATTTAATGGTTCCAATAATATTTTTTAGTACAAATACTGTTTAAAATGTTTGCATATGAGTCACCAAGAGAAAAATTTCCAAGCTATCATTTATTTTACTGCCTCAAACAAAACCCACCAGGAGGCTCCACTATAACTCATTCATTGTAATTTGAGGTTAAAGGACATCCAGTTGATTTTGACATATGGTAATCCTAGAAATTAGAGATTTCCAAGGCCCCTTCCACACTGCCATATAACCCAGATTATCAAATCAGATAATCCAGGTTATCTGCTATGAACTGAATTATATGAGGTTCCTTCTACACAGATCTATAAAATCTAGAATATCTGCATTATATGGCAGTATGGACTCAGATAATTCTTGTGGTTTAATGCCATCCAGTTGATTTTGACATATGGTGATCCTAGAAATGAGGGATTTCCAAGGCCCCTTCTACACTGCCATATAATCCAGATTATCAAAGCAGATAATCTAGGTTATCTGCTATGAACTGAATTGTATGAGGCCCCTTCTACACAGATCTATAAACGCAAGATTATCTCGATTATCTGCATTATATGGACTCAGATAACCCAAAGCAGATAATGTTGATTATGTGCCTTAATATTCTGAATTATTTGGCAATGTAGAAGGGGCCTGAGTCTACACTGCCATATAATCCAGTTCAAAGCAGATAGTCTGGATTTTATATGACAGTGTAGAAAGTGCTTGAGTATATCCATCTGTATTGCAGTCTTCTTCTATTATTCCAAGCTTTATTGTCTTTTCTTGTGAGTCAGGTCTTTTTAATTATATGGCCAAAGTACGACAGTCTCAGGCTGGATCTACACTGCCATATAATCCAGTATCTGATCCCACATTATCTGCTTTTAATTGGATTATATGAGTCTATATCAGAAAGTTGATTACTGGCAGTCCCCAAATTAGGAACAAGATAGGCTCTGTAGGATTGTTATTAAATTGAATGCGTATGTAAGTTGGAGCACTTCACTTAGGCGATCCCCCGTAGTCCGAGGATGATGGTCCTCCAACCTGGTGGTGGGTCCGTAGGTGACTGCGGAGCCCTATTCTTGATCCACATCTTCTCCCACAGTGAGGGTATCGGTTTTCAGGTGGAAGGCGGTCCCAGTCAGGGTTGGCTTGATGCGCCTTCCTTTTGGCACGTTTCTCTCTTTCCCCCTCCATTCGTGCCTCTTCAAATTCTACAGCACTGCTGGTCACAGCTGAACTCTAGCTGGAGCGCTCAAGGGCTAGGACTTCCCAGTTCTCAGTGTCTATGACAGAGTTTTTAAGGCTGGCTCTTTTCCTGCCCACCAACATTCCGTTTTCCGTTCTTGAGTTCAGAATAGAGCAATTGCTTTGGGAGACGGTGGTCAGGCATCTGGACAATAAGGCTGGTCCAGTGGAGTTGATGGTAGAGGACCATCACTTCAATGCTGGTGGTCTTTGCTTCTTCCAGCACCCTGACGTTTGTTCGCTTGTCTTCCCAGGAGATTTGCGGGATTTTTCGGAGGCAGCGCTGATGGAATCATTCCAGGTGTTTCATGTGATGTCTGTAGACTGTCCATGTCTCGCAGGCATATAGCAGGTTTGGGAGGACAATAGCTTTATAAACAAGCACCTTGGTATCCCTACGGATGTCCCAGTCCTCAAACACTCTGTGCTTCATTCGGAAGAATGCTGCACTCGCAGAGCTCAGACGGTGTTGTATTTCAGTGTCAATGTTGACTTTTGTGGAAAGGTGGCTGCCAAGGTAGTGGAAATGGTCAACATTTTCTAATGTTACACCATTAAGCTGTATTTCTGGCATTGGAGAGGAATTGGCCGGTGACTGCTGGAAGAGCACTTTGGTTTTCTCAATGTTTAATGACAGGCCAAGCTTTTCGTATGCTTCTGCGAAGATGTTTAGAGTGGCTTGTAGGTAAGTTGGAGCAGGTACATAGTAATGGGCGCTCCATGCAGTCATGTCAGCCACATGACCTTGGAGGTGTCTACGGGCAATGCCAGTTCTTCGGCTTAGAAATGGAGATGAGCACCAACCCCCAGAGTTGGACACGAATAGACTTAATGTCAGGGGAAAAGCTTTACCTTTACCTATTCTGGGATATAGGTCTGTGTAGAAGGGCCCATAATAAAACCACAATAAGGCATCAATTCTTAGCTTGGTTTTGGTAAGATGCCGAACACAATGCTACTGCAAATAACTTAATTTTTTTATTATTTTTTTTTGTGGATAAGGAGATGCTGTCATATCAGTGAACTGAAAAAGCAAATACTTGGCTTATTTTGCATAGATGTCGAGGTAAATCAAGTGTTTTCAGAAGATACTAGCTGTCCCCTGCCTCGCGTTGCTGTGGCCCAGTCTTTTGATCTGGGAAAATAAAGTAATGAGAAAGTGTAGGTTTCTAATATATGTAATTTCTTTCTGCTTGTGGGTAAACAGTATTTCTTGCTGTTTCTTTTTCAGTGTTGATATGGAGAGTGTCTGGATTGCCTGGAACATGCAACATATAATTGTCCTTCTTTAGGGGTCCCTTTCAAATCTATGATACTATATTTGTGTGTGTGTGTGTGAATCATATATATCTATATCTATGGCTGGATGGCTCTTTGTCAGGAGGGCTTTGATTACATTTTCTTGCCCTGGTGAAGAGAGTTGGACTGGATGGCCTTAAGTATTTTCTGTTGGTCATGGGGGTTCTGTGTGGGAAGTTTGCCCCAATTCTGTCGTTTGTGGGATTCAGAATGCTCTTTAATTGTAGTGAACTATAAATCCCAGTAACTACAAATTCCAAATGTCAAGGGCTATTCCCCCAAACTCCATCTGTAGTTCACATTTGGGTATATTGAGTATTTGTGATAAGTTTGGTCCAGATCCATCATTGTTTGAGTCCACAGTGATCTCTGGATGTAGGTGAACTACAACTCCTAAACCAAAGGACACTGCCCACCAAACCCTTCGTATTTTCTGTTGGTCATGGGAGTTCTGTGTGCCAAGTTTGGTCCAATTCCATCGTTGATGGAGTTCAGAATGCTCTTTGATTGTAGGTGAACTATAAATCCCAGCAACTACAACTCCCAAATGACAAAATCATAATTTTTGAGTGATGGTCACTCCTTGTGTTGTGAGACTACCATACTACAAATCCCATGATTCCCAATAGCATTGGTCACTATGAGTTAAAGCAGCGTCGAATCTGCAGGTCATGACTTTCAGGCTGCCCTCTTCTTGACTGTTTTGAAAGCGCCCGGCCAGGCAAATCCAACCAGAGGGGTTACGGGGGGAGCGGGAAGTCAATCAGCCCGTCGTAGCCATGGCAACGCATACGAGGCAGCCCCCCCCCCTTCCGACTTCCAGTGGGCGACTCCAACACTCAGGCGTTCCACTCACCTGGGAGGGAGGGGGAGGTTGAAGGAATCGGCTTCCCGGTCTTCTTAGAATCCCCGCCTCCCTGGGTCAGGAGGACTCCACGACGCATGCGCAGACTGGCCAGCGGGTGAGCAGCGGCATGGCTTCTCAGGCGAAGCGGAGAAAAGCGGCTGGGCCTCCTGATGCCCTGCAGGAGGGAGAAGAGTCAGACTCTGAGTTGGATAGCGAGGAGGAGGAGGAGGATGAGGAAGAAGAAGAAGAAGAAGAGGAGATCAAGGAGGTAATCGCCAAGCCGTGATGATCTCTATCCCTCTCTTTTTTCTTTTCCTCCCAGTCGGCCATGACTTTTCTCACCCACGCAGCTGGACTACAACTCCCAGCATTCCCTGCTCGGCGAGGCCGTGTTATCCGAGAACGATGCGTCCTGGGAGTTGTAGTCCAGTGCCTTCAGGGAGTGGGACTTAAAGACACAGGGTGCATTAATAACACTATGTAACATTGGGTTATCAATGTTATTTCCCTAATTGAGTCTATGATAAAAACATGTAGTATGTTTATTATTATTACTAATATTATTGCAGTATACAGTAGTGATGTAGTACTATATAATAATATATAATACTAATACTGCTATGCTAATAATATAATACTGTTTTAGTATTATATTATTAAAACACTAAAACAGTGGATGTGGCTCTTAATGAGACATGCCGCATTATCACAGGGTGTCTGCGCCCTACACCACTGGAGAAATTACACTGCTTAGCCGGTATTGCACCACCTGACATCCGCCGGGAAGTTGCAGCCAATAGTGAAAGGACCAAGGCAAAGACATCTCCAGCTCATCCCCTGTTCGGGTATCAGCCAGCACGTCAACGACTTAAATCCAGACATAGTTTTCTAAGATCTACAGAGACACTCGCTGGAACACCTCAGCAAGCGAGAGTCCAAAAGTGGCAGGCTCAAACCCAGAACCTCAATCAATGGCTGATACCAAATGAGAGACTCCCCCTGGGCACACAGAAGACTGGGCGACTTGGAAGGCGCTGAACAGACTGCGCTCTGGCACCACGAGATGCAGAGCCAATCTTAAGAAATGGGGCTACAGGGTGGAATCCTCGGCATGCGAGTGTGGAGAAGAACAAACCACTGACCACCTGCTGCAATGCACCCTGAACCCTGCCACATGCACAATGGAGGACCTTCTTGCGGCAACCCCAGAGGCACTCCAAGTGGCCAGATACTGGTCAAAGGACATTTAACCAAATACCAAATTTGCAAAATCTGTGTGTTTTTTTCCTTTTTCTTTTTAATCTGTGTGTTTGTTTTGCTCTGTTAGAATTGTAATACAATGGTTGCTGATGACACGATAAATAATAAATAGTAATATAATACAATATAATACTAGTAATAATCTATCTATATAAATAAAAATGTAATGTTCGTTTGTGGGATTAACAGAACTTAAAAACCACTGGACGAATTGACACCAAATTTGGACACAAGACAGCTAACAACCCAATGTATGTTCTTCACTCAAAATATTGATTTTTGTCATTTGGGAGTTGTAGTTGCTGGGATTTATAGTTCACCTACAATCAAAGAGCATTCTGAACCCACCTTTCTCCCATAAGTGGTTTGCAATTTTTGTAATGAACACACAGTAAGTTATAGGTCATCAAATTTAAAACATTGAAAAGAAACCCAAACTACAAGCCATGTAAGAAAAAAGATAAATACAAAACCTCCCACCTCATTCAATAGCTCTTCAACTGCCAAATGTTTGACAGATCAAAATGATGTTTATTTGTTGAGACATATAAGAGACTCAACTTACTTTTGCACCAGAAATGCAACCCTAATTAGTCCTTTGCCATGTGACTTCTTCATTTTTAACAGTATCATTCTTGGGGCATGGGATGCCATCTTGATAAAGAATTCAGAAATCATGATAGGTTAGAGATTTACCAGTAGATCTCTTTCTATCTTCTGCCCAGCACACTTCTATTTTATATACATTGATCTCAAAATACATTGTTGAACATTTTAAGGTATATTGGAATTAAAAAATAACATTTATTGGCAAGCTTGTGTGTGACACCTCCTTTGTGTGTTTTTGTCCACAGGAAATAAATGTTGAATTTGAAGCGCATTCCATATCTGATAACGATAAAAATGGAATTAAAAAATTGCTGCAACAGGTGAGTGTATCAGATCTTACAGTTCTTCTATGCCGAGTTATCATGACATGAAATACAATACCATGAATAACAGATTGGAGATTGACAAACACGTGCACTGTGTTGGTTGAATTATATTCTTTGTTTTGCTGGGGGCAGGGGGGTGGTAGAAGGAAAATTAATGAAGCAAAGGGTCCCTTTGCATACTTTTATGAAGAAAAAGATATGGGGAATTCCTTAGATGCAATATGTCATTTGAGCCACCTTGAATATTCTGAATGTTCAACATTTCAACTTTGATCTCTTCTTTTTATATTGATCATGTCATATCTAATCACACAGGTATGGTTGATTGGGACTTTATGAAATAACATTCAAGCATTAATGTTGTAGAAACAGAAAAGATGATGAATATGCACATTATTCAACACTTCATATATCTATTTGTGTCGACTTACATATTCATCGGTTGTAGGGTTTTGTGGCTAAAGTGAAGAGCCTCTCTTATCTGTAGAAGAAACTGCAGGAAAGGTTTCTTGGTTCACCTGAACATTAGGAAGAACTTCCTGGCTGTAATTGCTGTTCAGCAGTGGAACTCACTGTCTCAGAGTTTAGTGGAAGGTCCTTCTTTGGAGTCTTTTAAACCGAGGCTGGCTGACCATTTGTTGTGTTTTTCGTGCATGGCAAAGGTTGGATTTGATGGTCCATGTGGTCTCTTCCAACTCTATAATTCTAAGCTTACTACATGGGTGTCAACCATAAAAAGTTATAGTTGTCACTCGCATGAAGAGGCTCTATGGATATGGTAGATTCTCCAATTAGAGTGGTATTTTTCTTTTGTATGTTAGCTTGAGAAGGAAAAGGATGAGGAAAATTCTGACACAATTTCCCTTAACTGTTTATTCAACCCAAATGAATAATGGCTGTATAGAGCTTTTATAACAAAGAGGTTAGTGATTAAACCTGAGTAAATTGTGCTGGAAAGTATATTGAATATTGGCCTAAATGTCATAGCATCACAGAACTGGAAGGGACCACCAAGGCCATTCAATCCAACCCCCTGCCATATTTTATTATTATTATTTCAAACATTTGTACCCCATCCTTCACAACCTCTTAGGGTGGACTCAGGGAGGATTACAAGGGCATACAGGAACACTCGCTGAAAGCACTCCTGACAAATGGTCATCTGGCCTGTCGTTAACCCCTTTAGGTGTCCCTAAGTGAGATATAATATGACTGGAACATGCCATCAAACAATCATAATAATTTATTCCTAATAACAATATATATATTCTTATTAAAAGTCTAAAGTCTTTTTCTTCTCTTGCCCTCAGCTGTTTCTGAAGGCTCCTGTTAATACAGCTGATCTGACTGATATATTGATACAACAAAATCACATTGGGAGTGTTATCAAGGTATGACTATCTTCTAATTTTTATAATTGCTGTTGTTGTGTGCCTTCAAGTTGTTTCTGATTTATGGTGACACTAATGCAGGAATGGGCAAACCCAGCCACAAGGGCCGAATGTGGGTTCTTTTCTCAGGCCCTCCTCTCTCTCTCACACACCATCCTATCCTTTCTTCCTTCTCTTTTTCTTTCCTCCTCCTCTCTCTCCTTTCTTCTTCCCTTCCACCCTTTCATCCTTCCTTCCCTCATTCCTTCTTCCTTCCTTCCCTTTTGTCTTTCCTTCTCTCTTTCCTTCCCTCCATTCTCTTCCTTCCTTCCATCTATCCTTTCCTCCCTCCCTTCCTTCGGGCATTCGGACAACGTGGCCGGTCCAGTGGAGTTGATGGCAAAGGACCACCGCTTCAGTGCTGGTAGTCTTTGCTTCTTCCAGCACGCTGACATTTGTCCGCTTGTCTTCCCAAGAGATTTGCAGGATTTTTCAGAGGCAACGCTGATGGAATCGTTCCAGGAATATCAGGAGTAGGCAATACTGGGTTGAAAGGATACACTTTTTCTCTCCCGTCCACCATCTCATCCTGACCAATACCAATCCTTTTGGGATCCAAACGTTTCTCATCTCTTTCTTTCACTTTCTGCCTCCGAAAGAGAAAAGGAAGGGGAGGAAAGGGCAGTGAGGGGGCTTGGGGAGAACCCTTCCTACTCCGGCCCACCCTCCCCACTCCAGCCCACCATGCGGCCCCCAAGTTAGAAAGTTTGCCCATGCCTGCTCTAAAGCAAACCCTGTGAGAAATATTAAAAATTAACAAGGTATTTTAAATTACAAACATGTGAGTCAAGCACTGAAAGAGTTAGTAGGCCAAAGCCTGCTAGAGTCAGTGGGCCAAAGCTAGTGTCACCCTAAGGAGAGTGATTTGAACAAAACCTGTTAGTGTTAGTAGGTCTCAGTGTGAGAGAAGCCTCGTCTGAGAAAGCTCCAGTGTGAACGCTTTTGTGTGTAAAGCTACTGTGTATTTGTTTATTTGTGGTATGGAAACCTTGTAGTAAATAGTGCAACCATATTATTTTACTACAAAGAAAAGCCTCCAAAAGAAGATATAACATTGGTCTGTGTTTTTGTTCTTTTTATCACTTTTGGCTACTGGTTCTGGGCCATGTTGTTGCTGATAAGTTACTCTGCTGTACGTTTATGGGGAGGGTATTTTGTTAATAAGCCCGCTTGCCCAACAAACCTGTCACGGGAATTTTGTTTCTTGGCAAAATATGTTCAAAGAGGGCATAGCAAGTATGATTTGTCCGATGTTAATCAGTGGGCTTTCATGGATAAGCAGGGTTTCAAAACTTGATCTCCAGATTCCTAGCCCAATGTCCAAACCACTGCACTATGCTGACTCTCAATTTTCCTAATTAGTACATGTTATTTTTGTATATGAATATGGCATATGATTGCATGTGCATACCCATTATTACTTAAATGCCTTTGTGGTCTCTTCAGTAGCTTCTTCAAAACAA